TTAAAATGGCCTTACCCATTGCCATCACTCATAATGAACAGTTGAATCAGCTATCTAAACTTTGTGCAGGGAGGGTCCCCGTTTTAGTTCACCCATCCCTGTATAGAGCTTTTGAAATTAACTTTCCCCCTGGGATATCGGTGGAATCTCCCAAGACGGTACCATCAAAACTGAAATGGGCCATGGGTCTATGGGAGAGGCCGTCGGTATCCTTACCCCGGCCATGTTTAAAGCAGGTAAACAACCCTAATCGGACTTCTCAATGGCTCTCTGGTTAGCTACGTTAAATGTGCGGGGCCTGAGGTCCGAGTCTCGCAGGGCGAGGCTCTCTCGTGACCTTCAGCGCCTCGGGGTGAATGTTTGTTGTGTGCAAGAGACCCGGTTTTCTTCTCATGACCGTGAGGATATACTGCCTAGAGGGTTCGCCCTTTATTCAGCATGTTTTGATGGTCGTTCGAGGGGTGTCTCTTGGCTAGTGAGCAAGTCTTTGAAGGCTGCATGTACCCTTGTCTTCGCAGATCCGGCGGGCAGGCTTTGTGTGCTGGATGTTACTATAAAGGATAAGGCTTTACGTCTCATTGGGGTTTATGCGCCCAATAGTCATACTGAGCGGCCTGCTTTGTTTCGGCAGATCGAGCCGTTTTGACGACTTCTCGTCGGGTAGTCTTAGCGGGATTGGAATGCCGTCCTTGACCCCGATATAGATCGTATAGGTAAAAAACCGGGTACTAACAATCCTGATGTGAAGGCATTTCGGGGCTTTATCGGCAAGTTTGATCTTGTCGATAAGTACCGGAATGAGCACCCTCAGGAGGTAGCATGGACTTGGACAACTAGTGGCGACTCGGATCCTGGCTCGCTTGCGAGCTACCTGGACCGAGTGTTAGTTAGGAGAGTCGATGTAGGGCTCTTAGAGTGTCCAAGTTTCCACTATATAGTTTATACGGATCATAGGCTTGTCCGGGTCCGTGTAAACTTAGATAAGCCTAAGGTTAGGATGGCTGGTTACTGGAAATTTAACTGTTCATTATTTGGTGAGCAGGATTTCCGGGACCAGCTGCTACTAATGATTCAGAGGAAATTGACGGGGGCGGTTGTGGGAAACGCCTGGTGGGGAAATTAAAATCTAACATTAGAACGTTTGCTGCCGATTTTAGTCGTCGACTCAATCTAGATAGATTAGCGGCGCAAACGGCTTTAGAAGATAAAGTTGATCGGGCCGTGAAATCCCGTGTTAGTCGGGACATAGTCTTAGCTAAGGCAGAGTTGGCCTCCTTGCTTATCAAGAAGGATCAAGCTCTGGTAGTTAGGGCTAGGCTAAAAAGAATGTCTTCTGAGGCAACGAATATGGCCGCTGAATTGCGTGCAGAGGAAAATCGGAACGCGGCTAAGCGACATATAGCGTGCGTCACATTGCCGGATAAGCGGACCGTGACTACAAGCGCGGGCATATGCGAGGCCTTTCGGCTTTACTTTCAGGATCTTTTCACCAGGGAGCCCGGTCTGAGCTCTGCTCAGTTCGACGCCTATTTGGCTGACTTTCCCTGCCTTGAGGCAGCTGAAGCGGCTAGGTGCGAGGGTCCCATAACAGAGTCGGAAATCTGGGAAGCGCTGAAGCAGGTTGGCCTGGATAAGTCTCCGGGACTAGATGGACTTCCCTACGAAGTGTACTTGAGGCTGTCGCCCGTTTTTGTTCCTTTGCTGCAGCTGATTTACAACCACTGGATGAGGCAGGGTCTTTACCTCGACGCTTCACCAGGGGTGTGATCAAGTTGTTGCGTAAGGACAAGAACGGTGGGGATGGGTTAGGGAACTTTCGCCCTTTGACGATGTTAAATACTGACTTAAAGATTTTGGCGAAGATCTTAGCCAACCGTTTGCAGCTTGTCCTGTCTCGTCTGATTGGCCCCGAACAGACTTGTGCTGTGAAGGGCAGGACGATTCAGGATAACCTTCATATGGTACGCTTGATCTTAGAACAAGTCGACAGTGAAGCCGCGCTGATCAATTTAGATCAGTCCAAGGCCTTCGATAGGGTTGACCATCGGTTTCTGGAGGCTGTCCTGTCGGCGGCCGGTTTCGGAGCCGACTTTCGCTCCTGGATCCGACTCTTGTATGCGACCCCCGTGCGCTGGTGGAAGTGAATGGGGTAAGGTCGGAGCCTTTCGTATTGTCTCGCTCCATTCGTCAAGGTTGTCCGCTATCGCCCTTGCTTTACGTTCTTGCGTTGGAACCATTCCTTCGCAAGTTAAAGGCGAATCCGGTCCTGCGCGGAATTACCCTGCCTGGCGCTACCACCTCGGCCAGGTATTCTGCCTATGCTGACGACGTTTCGGCTCTTGTGTCGAGCAGAGCCGAGATTGACGAAGTCAGCAAAGAAATAAGTGGGTATGAGATGGTGACAGGGGCCAAGATCAACCGTGATAAGTCTGTGGGCTTGCGGTTGGGTGCGTGGAAGGGAGTTTCTCTTCCCGGACCTTTCCTCTGGACGGATGGGCCGATCAAGATACTCGGCGTCTGGTTCGGTCCTGATCTCCAGTTGGAAATGAACTGGTCGGAGGTACAAGGGAAGGCCGAGATCGCGGTTAATCTGTGGTCTCGGAGGAGACTTTCCCTGAAGGGAAGGGCGGAAGTATGTGTTTCACACATCTATCCGATCCTCCTCTACCGACTCTCTGTGCTTCCACTCCCGTATGCCCGACTAATGTCATTAGTCAGGACCTTGTTCTCTTTCTTGTGGAGAGGCAAGGCCCATATGGTATCTCGCGAGGTCTGTTGCCTCCATCCCTCTGAGGGCGGTCTGGGGATGCCTAGCATTGAGATTCGTCAATATATGCTTCGCATTACCTTTTTAGACCGAATGTGTCGTGGGTCGAATGAGGAGGGTGCCTTTTGGAAAGAAGACGTCCAGAGACATTTCCCGTCCCTGAAAAGTGTGCACTCGTGCGAACAAGAGGCCGGCCGTACTCCACGTGCCGAGTGCTCTTTTTATCGTGAATGTCGTCGCGCTCTGAAGCTCCTCTTACGGGCTTCGGATGGTCTCTCCAACGCCCAGGCGTTGTCTCGCAAGGCATTATATCAAGTTTTAGTTAGGGGGTCCGTACAAGATGATCTGATTGGCGAGCTCGGTCTTACGAAGCAGGAGGCTCGCTCGATATGGCCTTGGGCGCCCGGGTTGAAATGTCTCAATAACGATGAGGCATCACTCACCTGGCTGGTGATTCGTGAAGCCCTCTGGGTCGGCAAGAGACTTTGTTCAGCAGGCTTGGAGAAATATCCAAACTGTCGTCGCTGTACGGGGAAGTCGAGACTATTGGTCACGCCTTCTTTCAGTGCAGGGCGGTAGTGCCGTTGTGCAGGTTTGTTGAAGGCCTCATGGTTCGCATGCTGCACGGAAAGTTTTTTTTGTCCTGGAAGCCAGTTCTGTTTGTAGCAATGTGGTGCCGCAGATGACGAAGGCTGAACACTATGTGTTCTGTTGCTTACTAGGGGTTATGAGAGTCGTGATTTGGACGACGCGTCAGAAGGGATTCCATGAGGGCGAGAAGTTCACTTCTTCCCAACTGATCTTGTTCTTTAAGCATCAGCTTAAAGTCAAGATCAGGACGGAAAGGCGGCGGCTCACCTCATCGGAATTCAGCAAAAGGTGGGTGATTCTTGCGCGCGATGTGCCGAGTAAAAGGGGCTGACCTTGAGTGGCATCTGGATGCCGGTTAGGCATTAAGGATATTGTTTTCCTGGGTTGAACATAGGCAACCCATCCCGGAGTTAGGTTAGATTAGGTTTTTTGTATTTTTTTTTTTTAGTTTTTCTATTCTGGTAAACTTAGCTAGGTGTGTTTTGCTCATTGGTCCCTTTTTATTTCTGTCCCCATTTTCTTTTCCTTTAGTTTAACTCCCCATCCCCCCTCGTTTTAGGTGGTCAGTGATGTCAGTTCTCTGGTAGATGCGGGGCGCTTTTCGTTTTCGTGCGTGTGTTTTTTTCGTATTTGTTGTTGTGTATGAATGAGTGTGTGCCTGTGTGAATGCTTGGGATGAATGAGTGTGGCTTTATTTTTTCATAAGTCCCGCATCGATTTCGTCCGGTTAACTGATATTTCTGCCACATTCAATAGTTTGTGGGGGTTTTATTACTAACACTAATTTTATTTGGTTTCTTGTAAATATTATTTTGTCATTTTGTATATATTTCATTGGGGATCTTTTTAGAAGTTGTTGTTTTTTTATGCCCCTCCCCCACAGACAATATTTGTACATAAGGGGATTATTTAGGTTTTTTCATGGAGTCAAAGAGGCATTTTGGTGTATGTAGTAAGAAAGGTATGGATAAATGTGTTGTTTTGGTGAAAGGAATATTGTTCAGTATGATAGGGTCAGTGGATGTGGCTAGCTAAGTTTTAATCTAAGACAAGTGATGACCGTCCTTTACCCCAACCCCCTTTTCGGCCTTGTGCCACATTTGTACCTTAGTACAATAAATAATGTCAGGACTCCACACTCGGAGAGATGCCAACCAATTCCACGCCAATTTAAACTTTGACTTTCCCGCGCGAATTAACCTGACTCAACAACCTAATGGTTTACTCAATCTCTCTTTAAAACAAACTTCTCAAAAAATTCATTTACTTTACTTGAGAAAGTGGAATATATATTCACTACATAATTAGTAACAGTAACAAACAAAACTTTCAACAATTAACAGTTCAAGGTACGCAACTTCGTACGACTTAAGAATATTTACAATAACACTCGTATACACACATTAACATTTGAACTGTAAAATCAAACACTTTTGTACGTTGAACAGCAAACTGTTTAATTCTTACCATAAATCATCAAAACATTGATTTAAGCATTCAAACATAATCAACAACAAACTACATGTCTTATTACACCAATATACGACAAATCACCAACTCATTTGTATATATTTAAATTGTATATAAATTAATGTTATTGTTATGCATTCAACTTTTGTCTTGTTTTTCCAACTTTATTTGCATGATTTGTTCGAGCTGCCAGGTTTTTCGAATTCATATCTTTATAAGGACGATAAATCCTCATTCAAGTAAATTATACATTCTCTTTGATCATCTAGATAAATCGCAGTAAATCTAATCCACATAACTTAAGGATTATAATTTTCCCGCGCGAAAATAAACACAACTGAACCCAAAAACTCGACTCGAAGATTACTCTGTGAATACAAAGAACTTCAACTGGCAAGACTTTACTTATCCAAAGTGAATTATTAACGCTCACTACTTTAAGTAAATACTATTAGTATTATTGAACATATTTCATACTTACAGTTAAGGGTAGACTACTTCTGAATGACTCAATTCTAAACAATACAAAAAGAACAACACGAACATAACGGTGTTTAAACACTAATTACGAATTCTTAGACTGTTATACAAATACACCAAGACACCAAAAAACAAACAAAATCTTCATCCACTAACAAACATAACACAATAATATATTGTAATAATATTTTGGATATAATATTTGTATTATTATAAATGCATTTGTTAGTTTGAATTGCATACATGTTTTGCCTTGTTTTATATTAAGTATTATTATTTATTGTTGTGGATGCAAAAGAAGATCACGCAACCTGACAAAAAACACCATAGCAAAAAATCTTAGTTCATTCTGCGCATCCCCAACAAGACTCTAGTGAAGAAGACTCTCCAGAGAAAGGCATACTTCGCCATACAGATCAACTTCTTGGTATATGTGCAGATGAGGACATGATTGTTAGAAAAAAAAGCTGTCCCAGTAATAAGAAAAATTAGATGCCTTCCGAAAAGCATTTGTGCGAGAGTGTACTGTACTGTAACAGACTCGGCTCGCTAATTCCACTTTTCTCGTCTATATTTTACTCCTTAACAATTTTCTACCTATTGACGGATCTATTTTATTTTAAAAACCATCTAATATATATTTCCAGATCATCTTAAACGCGTCAGGATAAATTTAAATCAGAGTTACTTTCTCGTGGCATCAATGTTGTCAAGGAAAGTCCCCAATACACCGATGACGATGTACACAAGAAATATGTGACGTAATACACATATTTTTCGGTGCCTTGTAATCGATGTCGGAAACGTGGTGGAGCTGATTTGTTTAACAGATTTGTACACAAACGGTAAAAAAGAAATTAACTTTTTTTTCTTAGAATGTGTTTCCAGCAATTTAATTTACTTGTATTTTTTGTTTAAGCTTTTTAAAATTGTAATTTATACCAAAAAAAAAAAAAAAAGTCAGACGAAACCTGTTTTAGTTTTTATGTCTACAAAAGTAATTTAAAAATCGAAAAAGGGTTAGATTTGAAAGATGAAAAATAAATAAATAATACAAGTAATTTTGCATATCAGAAGATATGAGTTTTAAAATAATTCTTATTTTTATTTTACAATACAATACATCATCACTTGTTTGTATGTAATCGACTATTTTTATTTTCTCAAAATAGTTTTGCTTTTGTAAGGATGACCTTCAAAGACTTTTTTTTAAGCTATAAATTATTTTTCAAGGTTTCCAAAATATACAATGCTAATTATGAACAAATCTGGCAAAGGTTTTCAAAATGTCACATTCGAATCATAAAACTAAAAAAGCTTATTGACTTCTTAGTTTGTTTTTTTTTCAAGGTGATTGCTTCGAGATAGTGACTTCTTCTGTTTTTCGCTAGAGAAGTTAAAACTAGACATCTTAGTTTTCTATTTTCTTTTTCAAAATCTAGAAAATGTTCCAAAAGTAAAAGAATAGTTTATATTTTGTGAGTTTCAGATTCTGTCAAAAAAAGACAGAATTGCTTGGTCGATAAGGTCGAAAATAAACCGGTGAGATTAAAACTGGTCGAGGGGAGATTAATGTAAGCAAGGATTGTCTTTTGGGGCGAGTGTGGGATTAAAATTTTAATTATAAATTGTTTCAGTTTACTTTAACCTTTTAATAAGATTTTTCTATTTTAGTAGCTTTATAAAAATGATTTAAGTTTTGCTGAATATTTTTAGGTATGTTCACACTAGTTTGTGATACCTAATTTTTTAAAAAAATGAAAAATAATTAAAAACAGCAAAGGAATAAATTTTTGTTTAATCGATGATGCCTGCCATTTTGTTTGAAACATTTATAAACAAAAGTTAAATTCTCCGTTTTAAAAATCTTGTAAAAATTAAAATATACTTTTTTTAAAAAGTTGTTTGAGGAAATTTAAAATTAATCTAATTTGAAATAAACAATATTTACTTATTAGCAGAAAAAATTTTTAACCACAGTAACATGTTTGGAAAAGAAAAAAAAATGAATTTTAGTGGTTCGTTAGACAAATTGCCAGAAGCAAATGGGTGGGAGATCTATAGATGGGGGTCATTTTAAGTGGGTGGTGGTTGTGGTTAAAAGTACAATTATATGTTTAACTTACTAATAAGATTTATATTGAGGAGAGATTTTTTTTTTTTTATCCAAGTGTTATTTTTTTTTTAAATACCAAAATAAACTAATATTTTGGATTTTAAAATTTTAAGGCGAAGCAGTCTATTTAAGTGAGAAAAAACAAACGCTAATACTGTTTCAAGAATTAGAAAAATACTTAAAATTAAAAGATAAATCTTATTGTTGCTATCATTGACATTTTTATTTTGTTGTCCAAAAAAAAAAAAAAATTAAAAAGATATCTGCATTCTAAAGACAAGAATTCTCTCCCTTGATTTCTCTCCCTCCCCACCTAATTGTATTTGTTGAGGTTTTGAATCGGAAAAGAAAAACTAAAAATATCGTTTTTTAATTCTGATAAAATTTATTTCATATTAGTTAAACCTTCCTCATTCTTTGTGAAGAAGCTCCAAGACCAAAGTGGCTCTAAACATCAACTAAGAGAATTATTATTCCCATCAACAAAACAAATCTATTGATTCCCAGAATAAAGGCAAACACTACCTTACTTGCTTTTTTAAGTTTGTTGGCTTTAGTTTTTACTTTTAAATCTCATCACTTTTTAAATTTAAATTAAATATATATCCGTGATGTTTTTTAAACAAAAGTAAGTAGTTTTTAGTCTTAGAACTTATATTTTATTTCGGACGATAAGCAAGGCTATTAAAATCCGAAGGCAATAAGTGCGATCTTTATTTTAATTTATTTTTTGTTTTAAAACCAATACACCACAAATTATTATACACAGGGTGGTCCGAAGGTCTTGTCGCCCCCTACCGAAAAGTAATGAGAATAGAACAAGTAATACCAAGCACATATACTGGATTCAGCTTATTCACTTTCAATGTCACACACCGAGAAGGTCTGTATGAATATTGAACACCATCATTATTTTGGAGTGACAAGATTTTAGGACCACTCTGTTTTAATTTTTTATTTATTTATGGTAAAACGTGCTTAGATTATGAGGCCATGTAAAGCAATCTAAGGGAGATAATTTAACATATAGTATATAAAATTTGTTTGGGCATTAAAAATAACTGATAATATCCAAGTATTCAAAGTAATTTTATACTTTTTTCTTTTTTTTTTTTTTAAATTGAGTATCTTTAGTTTAATTTTACTGTGATACCTCGGCTTAGTCGTTTCGAGTTAAGTCATTTTCGAAGATACGTCGGTTTTTTAAAATATTATGTGGAAAAATAAAGCTTGCCTTAGGTTGTTTTACTCAAGTTTGCATAAATTTAAAATTGTTTTTTTTTATTTAATTATTTTATTCAGAATACTGTATACATACATATATATATATATATATATATATATATATACTATACTGAATACATATCGTAAATACTATAATGGGGAGTGCTTATTTGCTGTCTTTAGTGTGGTTATTTTAAATCGTTTTTCGACCTAAATTGTGACCCCTGTAAACGATTTTATTTTTAATGATAGGGTGAGGTATGTCTGTATAATTCCACTGTTTTTAAAGTCTGCCGATTTGTCATGTTACAATAGAAATAAATTAAACAATAAGTCAGTTGAAATGTGAATTTGATTCTGTTGATAAAAAAGAAAATTAAAGTGATTCAAAATATTTTAATGTACAAAGTAAATAATAGCATAATATCATTGTATCTTTTCTTTACGTGGGCATTTTAACTTAGCAAAAATTAGCTGTTCTTTTTGGAGTAGGTGAACAACTTTCTAGATTGATTTCATGATCACAAATTTGTCTCCTTGAAAAGAAATTACTAAATTTTCTAATAAACCTAGAAGTAAAATAACATTTTCAAATGATAAACTATTCATTTTTTAAAGTTTTATATTGCTAACAAATATACACTTTTACATTTTAACTAAATATAGATCATGGCATGTCGTCATCTGTCCAGACGTCTTTCCTTGTGTGTTCGCATTTCAAGCCGGTGGGCCTGTTCCTCCCTGAACAAACTACTTCAACAAAATTCAATAGGCCATCAAAATCCAAGCTTTGTACCTGCTATCACATGGAACCAATTGAGTAAAAGACTTTATTCTTCAACGGCATCTACTTGTTTTAATATTCAAGATGAAGATGATTTCCAGAAAAGAGTCATTGAAAGCTCCACACCTGTCATTGTTGATTTCCATGCTACGTAAGCATTTTATCCTCTGTGTTCAAGATGTATACTTTGTATGATCTCTAATTCTGTCAACTGGGACCCAACAATTTCTGTTATATTCCCTCCCTTCATCTTTTTTTGTCAATCCATGAGCACAATATATTTAACATAATTTTATTGAATAATTTGCTGCCAGGAAATTTGATTCACTGTCTGTGCTAAACAATTTTTCTTACCAGAATCTATCCAGCATCTTTAAGTCTACTCTTAATCCATACATTGAATATTGTTGAAACATCTGGTCTGGTGTTTCTGCTATGTATCTAAAGATTCTTGACAAGATCTAAAAAAGAATCTGCAGTGTTATCATTCCTGACCTGGCATCTTGGCTTCAATCACTTACCCAGTGTCATAATGTAGCTTTCCTGTGCCTTTTTTCTATAGATATTTTTATGGCAATTATTTTCATGAGCTTTCCTCTTTATACTATGACTTTGTGAATGAAATATAGTACTAGATTGGCAGTTAGGTCTCATAATTTCACTGATGAAATTGCTAAATGTAACTTCTATTCTGATAGTTTCTTCTTCCACACTTCTTGCTTGTGGAACTCTTCTGGCTTCCTGTTAAGTACGATCTTCAAAAATTTAAATGCAACATCAATCACTGTCATTTTTCTTTTTTTATTGTCCTTTCTACTCCATAAAATTTTCTCAGTATCTTTCACTCTTGGTAACTCCTTGCACCTTTTTGTGGCTTTATCCTTTGTTCCCTGTTTAGGATTAGCTTTCTGGGTCCTTCTAAAATCTTTTCATTCTCTTTCATTCCCAGTAGCCTCTTGTGTCTTAGTGGCATTATTGCCTTGCTAGGGCAAATTGAAAAAATCTATCCCACTCCATTTATATGTAATTGTGGTCTGCTACAGTTTGTTTCATTCATTTGATAGCCTTTTCTATAGTTTTCTTTAACAGTTTTATAGAAAATGTTATTTTATTTTTGTGGTGATCTTGTAGTTTAATTATTTTTGTTGTTATGAGGGTCCTTGATTAGTTACAGCAATTGAATCTAAAGAATATTAACAAACTTTTCAGTTACCTTTTTTTTTTTTTTTTTTTATTTATTATTAACTTTATTTATTTATTTATTTATTTATTTGTTGGCACTATTAATGTTGTTTGTATTTTATTCATACAATTACCAAAACATAGCAACTTTCAAAACTAAAAAAACATAGTTTGCTTACAACTTTATGATGAAAAGATAAACCCACCATTAAAATAACTGGTGAAATGTTTGGCAATGTTTAACCTTTGTACCTGCAAAAAAAAATGGTGTGTCAAAAGGACAGTTATTCCCTTGACACTGCTATTAGTGGATTGTCCAGACAGCTCATGCTGATTTTTAGTCATTCATGTTCCAATACGATGGAACACATCAAATTTATTGACTGAAATAATATGCTTACATTTCTGATTAGAGCACACTTCAACGTATCTTTTGAGAAAGAAAAGTTTAAAATTACTTAATCCGTGTCAATTTTGCATCCCTATGAAAATGGAAGATTATAAGGTGCATTTTAGACACTTGACAATTTAGATTTTTTTTTTATTGTAAATGCCTTGCAAACAACAAAAAAAATATGTGCTGCTAACAGTGAAGGTGCTTTGGCTGACAGAACTGTACAGAAGTGGTTCACTAAGCTAGCTTAGAGTTGGTCATTGTAACCTTATTAATGAACAGTGCTCAGGCAGACACAGATGTTGTCCAAATCAAGACATTGAGAATAGCCTGCATTACACAATGCAGGAATTGGCAGAAACAGTAAATTTATCAAAATCCACCATCCATGAGCACTTAGTGAAGCTTGGGTACTCAAATGACTACAATGTCTAGGTACCACATGATCAGAGTGAAAAGAATCTTTTGGGATTACATTTCTGCTGTGGTTTGATGTATAAACACAATAAGAATGCATCCTTTTTTAAGCAAATCGTGATGGGGTGAGAAATGGATTGTTTACAACAATGTTCCACAAAACAGATCCTGGGGTGACATGAGCCAACTTTAGCCACCTCAAAAGCGTGTCTTCATCCTAAGAAAGTCATGCTGTGCATCTGGTGAGATTAGAAAGAATCCTGTACTATGAGCTTCTGCCAAGTAACCAGTCAATTGATTTTAAAAAGTACAACTGGACAAATTAAAAGCAGTAATTCTAGAAAAACACTCAGAATTGGCAAACAGGAAAGGTGTTTTTCATTTTGGTAGTGCCAGACCTCACATTTTTATTGGTAACACAGCAAAAATTGTTGCAGTTTGGCTGGGATGTGTTACCCCACCTGCCATATTCGCCAGACATTGTTCCTTTGGATTTTCATTTAATCATGTCCTTGCTAAATAATCTCACTGGTAAAGAATTTTCATTCTTTGGATGACATAAAAAAAACACCTCAATGAGTTATTTGCTGAAAAACTGGGAAGATGGAATATTTAAGTTGAAGGAAAAATGAAGAAAGGTTGTGTAACAAAATGGTTCATATTTAGTTGAATATTTAATGGCATAATTTTGTTTAGTGTTTTAATTTCCCTTAAAAATTGGCATGAACTTTTTGGACAACACAATATTTTAACTACCTTCACTCCTCAGCAATGTTTGTTTTAAAAAATGATGGTTAGAATTTTAATAAAACCGAAACATATGGAAGTGAATCTATACATTTATAATTTATTTCTTTGTTCTTGAGAATTTACAACAAAAATATTAAACACTATATTTATTTGTTTATTTACACTATTTATTGTTTATTGAAATGGTTGTCAAAATATTGGCTAATTGCCAATTGATTCAAACTTTATAAAAATGTAAATAATAAAGATTTCATTATAGTTGGTTCACATATTTTTATAATTTAGGTGTTTAAAATTTATTAATAAAATTGTTTTCAAAATTTATTTCTTTATAAATTGATAAATGTTATATTGTGCAGGGTGCAGCAGAAATATCTCCCACATAATGGTAAGACATTAGATAGTTGAAGACACCATTACTACTAATGTCTTGCCATGATGTGGGAGATATTTTTTGATGTACATTGTATTAAGTTTAATACAATTGTATTAGTTTTTAGAATGTTCTAAATGTAAAATTATATTTTGTAAATAAACAATCTAATAAATAAATAGCATTTAATACTTTATTTTTAAATTCTCACAAACAAAAAAAAATAAATGTATAAATTCACTTTAATCATATGTTTAGTTTTTATTGCAATTCTAATTATCCTTTTCAAAAAACAATAAATATTGCTACAGAGTGAAAGTCTCCCCCACTTCAATTTATTGATTTCAAATAGCTTCATGAATTTACCTAAGATGCTTTTTCTCTTAATGAAAATTAAAAATATCTAAAAGAATCTTTGAAATTGTAATTCTTTTGTTACATAAGCCCTTCTCCTTTTTTATGTTACTCTAATCAAATTTCACTGTGGATCTATTTTAGGGAATAACCTAAACTTGGATAAAGTATTAGCCGACCTTTGGTAAGAATTCTAATTTTTCTAAGGCTAATCTTTAAGTTATAAATCCTCCTTAAATAAGATGTAGCATTTACAGTCTGAAATATTTGAATAAGAAGAGAAAATGTAATGAAACAATTTTTGATCTGTATAGTCATTATATAATGATTTAATATGCTGTCATTTATTTGCAGATGGTGTGGGCCTTGCAAATTACTGACTCCTCGTCTTGAGAAGATTGTTGATAACCAAAAGGGTGATGTGGTTCTGGCTAAAGTAGATGTAGATGACAACACGGAAATAGCTATGCAATATGGAGTGAGTAATTTAATGTTTGCTGTTCTCCCCCTCTTGAAGGGCATATATAAATAAGAATTTGTTCCTTAATAAGTTGATAACTTGCTTGTTAAATTTCTTTTGTTTGGTAATTTTTATCCTGCTATTACATTGTTATAGACAAGTGTATGGTTGCAAGAATGAATTACAACAACAGCAGAAATAGATTTACGCGATTTATTTTGACAGGAACGTGAGGATTTGGGACAGCTATCTTGTGGTATAGTTCGTAAGCCGGCTTCGGATCTAGGTCGATCTCTCATAGTAGTTCACACATGTTGATGCTGGCGCTCCCTTGCTGACAGCTGCTGACCGCTCAGCCTGACCATGACAGGTCTCCTCCCTGGCCACCTGTTGACTGCCTGTTGTACTTCCGTGTGACCCCTTTTATGCTGTTTTTTTTTTTTATGGCTTAACAGGCTCGAAAAACAAAGCGAGTATAATTAGGAGGGAAGCATTTTTATTGGATGAAAAATAGAACACTTTAAATATTATTTTATTTTTCGACCGGAACTCGTGCGTTGGGAACATTTGTAAACGAAGATACTGGTCATTTTGTGACGGGGCTTTGTCCCATTCACATCCGGCTCTCGCTCTTGAGTATGTTAGTTTATTTGCCTGTAAATCAGCCGAGATATGTCTTATTTTATTTTATAACAACATTCATCTATTTATGGTTAGAATGAATACTATATTTTTGTTAATTTAGGCAACCTGGCTGAATAAAATAAAATAAAAACAAAAAACCCTCAAATTTTTAAATAGGAATATCATACAAGTTGAGTAATTTGGGTTTAGTTATATGTTCGTTGCGATTGGCTCAAAATGAGAAATCCCAGAACCAAGTTCAAAAAACCAGTTGGGTTCATTACATTAACTTACGTGCAAATACTCTTTGGAAAGGTATGGCTCTACCCCCGCCCCCCTCCGATATCTGAGATCTTGATTTGATATTTGGTTATCTTGGTTGTTTCATACTATTTTCGATAATTTTGTATCTTTTTTTTTTTTTTTTTTTTTTTTTTAATTATTTGTTATTATACTTTTATTCAAATTACTGTTCACATATTTGGATTTTTTTATATATAATCTTTATTTTTTTTTTAAATTGAGTATTTTTTTTAAATTTTTATTTACCATCATTTTATTTATTTGTGCAAATATCTTTTGCTTTCACAGGTTCAGTCAGTTCCAACAGTGATTGCTGTTTCAAAAGGAAAAAAGGTTGATCAGTTTATTGGCCTTCAACCAGATGATATGATTGAATCTTTTGTAGAAAAACTGAAGCTTTAATTGGCAGCAATTGAATATCATGAACTATGGAGTTTGCAAACAATACACAGAAAATATTATAGAAATGAAAAAGTGCTTCCTTTTTTTTTTTTTTTTTTTATATGAAAGTTAGTATTTCTTTCCTACAAGATTTTGGTTATATCATTCTTTATCTTTGATAAGGGACATTTTTCTTAATCCCTAAAATTAGGTATCATCATGGAAATTGTATTAGATAAAATAAATAAATTAATAATGTCTGATTGAATAAGTTACAAACATTATGTCTGCTTATTTTGATCATAATCCTTTCATATTCAAACATTTTTCCATATATTACAATTAAATGAGGCAAGAAATGCACTGTAACAGTGCTTAGGTAATAAAAGTGATTCTCACTGTTACAATGCATTTCTTGTCTAATCTAAGTTTAATATACGGAAAAATATTTGTGAATATGAAAGAATTATGATCAAAATAAGCAGACAATGTTTGTAACTGATTCAATCAGACATGCCTAAAAGAGAATTTGCTGCCTATGGGTTCTCTTGTTGAGTTCAATGTATGAGGTTCCCAACAAATTAATTATCTGCATGCCTATGACAGGCATGGCTTTTGAGACCGGCTCGAGAATTGCATAAAAGACCACAAACAGTACAGGAGAATGTATTGTATCCAAGTGCAGCAGGAACACTGTTAGATGTCTTATTTTGCTTTCTCATTTCATGTAGTTGACTGATGGTTACTTCTCAGTGCAGCTATATCGATGTTGCACTTCTTTAGCTCCAATGCAACAAGAACTGTTTTTCTTTCTGGTGCTGAGTTGTTGTATTTTACAATATATATATATATATATATATTTGTTTATAAGTTTGACAGTTAAAAAAAAAAAAATTGGCCAGACCAGAAAATTTAAGTCAAAATATGAAACTTAGCCATTAGTCGTAATGAGAATCATTTTACATAATTTTTTTTTTTTTTGAATTTGCTTTTAATATTTTAAGCAAGAAGGATCACGATTTTGAAATGAATTGTGATGTAACTTGTACTGCAAAAACTGACTCTTCATTTCTTGAAAAGTCATTTCTATTCAGCAATAGAAAAAAATACTATTGAATAAAAATACTGACCTTAGAAATTCAAATCATTTATAGTTTGAAATGCATCTCTATTGTTGTTACTTTTTATTTTCAAATAAAATTGTAAATTTGTCTTTTTTTATTATTGTACTTCAAAAATATTGAGTTTCTAATGATATTTAAAGGTGTCATTGAGGATCTCCATCAATGATGTTTAGATGATGCTTGTTAATTTGTTAATAGTGGATAAGAAAATAAATATTTACTCTAAATCTTTTAAAGAACTGGAAATTGACTACAATTACATTTTGGCAGCAGATTTGTTGTGTACAACTTTTTACAAAGGATGATGGTTAATTTGTTTACAATTTCATCTAAAGTCTGTGTATTTGTTATACAGGGAAAATCTTGTACTTTGTCTTGCCAGGAGATATATTCTAATGGTTATTGTGGAAAATCTTTCATTACATATATGAAAATACATAAAATATATCTTTTATTCAATATATTTATATATTAAATATATATATATATATATATATATATATATATATATATATATTTTTTAAATTTGGATAAGATTCTGATGGAATGGTAAATATTTAAAGACAATTTGGAAAACACTTATTTTGACATATCACACTGTCAGAAAAACAGATTTTGATTCAAACAAATCTATATTGGCGAGGCATATTAGTCATATCTACACTGGATTTATTTACTATAACTGTTTAATTTTTTTTTTTTTTTTTTTTTTATCATTTCACCCCAAGCAAGGCAACAATGCCACTAAGATGCAACGGAGTGTAAGAGAATACGACTTTAGTGATGAGAAAGGACAATAAAAGAACAGAATTCAGGAAGGCAGAAAATGGTGATTGTTGTTGCATTTAAATTTTTAAAGATTGTAGGTAGAAGGGAAGCAAGAACCTGGAAGACAGTCCACAAGTAAAAAGTGCAAGAAAAGAAACTATTAGAATACCTACGTGTAACTATCAGTTCTATTTTTAAATTCATGCAGTTGTGGTACTAAAGGGGTGGGCTCATTAGAACAATTACCATTTATAGTGGTGGGGAAGTGTCAGAAGTCAAGATACCAGGACAGATAACATTACAGACCCTTCTTTGGATTTAGTTGAGAATCTCAGAGATATATAGCAGGAGAACCAAATTAGATGTGGCAGCAATATTCAATGCATGAGACAATTGGTAGATTTATAAATGTGCAAGATGAATTCTGATGAGAAGAATTCTCTGGCACGACATGCTGAACCAACCTTCCTAGCAATTGATTCAATTCATTCCACTTCATGTCTGGAAAACATGAGATGAAGAAGGTGCAATGAGTTGCTCTCCTGGAGGTTAGCATCTGCCATGTTGATGAAAGACAAAAATGGTTCAATTTCAAGCCCTTTTTTATTTAGAGATTCATTTGTTATAAGATTTTTCATATCACATCCCACATTGTTTCAACATCAGTAAGGACAAGTGATAGGCTGTAGAATATATGAAAATATATGATAAATCTTTCATCCATTAAATACATCAAAATGTATAACAACAGGCTTGAAAAAAAAGTAAGGTTTTTATTTCTTTCATAGATGTTGCAATAATAATTTTAGAAAAATGAAAATGGAAATTAATATTTGGAAAGTTATAAACAATTTTTATCAATTTATAAAATTTTATTTTAATTAAAAATGATGATTCAAGCAAAAGATGTTCTCATTTTAAAATCAAAAAATTTAAAACTTTCAATTTAATTCAAATAATTGAAGTTTTAATTTTTTGTTGAAAACATGAGAACTTTTATGTTCATCTGTTTAATAAAAGTTTTAAATGGAATAATTATATTTATGCTCTACTTTTTGTATTGAAATTATATTTTTTTATTTGAATACTAAAGAACTTTGGATTATTTAACTAACTATATGAGTTCTTTCCTATTTTCTATATATTTTATACACACACACACATGTTAAAAATGGATATATATATATATATATATATATATATATATATATATATATATATATATATATATATATATATAATTTTTTGGATGATATTTCATTCTATAATATATCTTCAAATACACTTTTTTTTTTTTTTTTTTTTTTTTTTTTTTTTGGGATATTTTAATAATAATAATGTTTACACAAGGTCAAATGTTAAAAAAGAGTAATGATGAAAACTGTCTCTCAATCATCTGAGAGACTCCTCTCTGTCTTTCATCAGCATGGCTGATGCTAACCTCCAGGAAAGTGACTTGCTACACCTGCTTGGGCTAATGTTCTCAGTTGACAGGAAGTGGAAAGACTATATTGAATCCATTGCTTGGTCCACTGCTAAGAAAGTTGGTTCATTGTGTCATGTGAGGCAGTTTTTTTTCTCCAGACTCTGTCTTGCATATCTATAAGTCTACTATTTGTCCATGCTTATAATATTGCTGCCACTTATGGTCCAGTGCCCCTGCTATTTACCTTGAGCTCCTTGATAAGATCCAAAGAAGAATCAGCTATATTATTGGTGCTGATCTGGTCGGTCAGTTTAAGTCACTTTCCCACTGCCATAAGGTTGCCTCTGTCTTTTCTATAAATACTTTCATGGTAATTGTTCAGCTAAGCTCTTTGCTATGGTAGCTAGAGTTTTTGAATTATGCGCAGTACTAGACTGGTATTGAGATCTCATCAATTTATAGTTGAGCTGGCTAAATGTAGCCGTAAATTCTATGCTAACAGTTTCTTTTCTTGCACTCCTTGCTTGTGGAACTCCCTTCCTGTTTCATGCTTTCCAACCAACTTTAATCTGGAAAAATTTAATCACAATGTCAATCACTATCTACTGTCTTCTTGATTACTCTTTTCTCTTTCCGCTCATTATTAATGTTTTTGTTCCTAATTCTTCCACACCTTTCTTATCCTTCAAACAAGTTTATTTTCTTGCAAAAAAAAAAAAATATATATATATATATATAAAAGGTGTTTCATTAATAGGGATTATATATAAGGGTGTTTCATTAAGATGGATCAAAGTCAGCAGTTAATAAATCAGGGTTATTGTTGAAAATTTCTTTATTTCTTTATTGGATCTTGTTATTTAAGTCATGGCAATTATGTGTGAAAAATAATATCGCCCAAATGTCCGACAAATCTGAAAGAAAAAATCATTAGATGCTTAAACTTAATTCACATTTAAAATTGGTCCCAGTTGTTGGACCACCCTTTTTATATATATATATAAAATCTCTTGCATTTGGTTGAGCCCGTAGATGTTAACAAGATAGGGGGTGTTTGTGTGTATTATTTTTAGATGATTGTACATGTTCAATCTATTAACAAAGAAAATAGAAGAAGCATACCAAAGAGATTTAGTTTCTGCTATGGATGTTTATTTCTTTTTCTATATTGAAAAAAAAGTTAAATATTTCTTGAGTGTGTCCATTTTTTATTTTGGTTCAGAAATAATTTATGGAAAGTAAGGATAAGAACGGGTAAAGATGGTTGAGTTCAAGTCAGCCTCACACTGACTTGGGATGGCTGAATCTCTACTTCGTGAGTAGGGCTGCTGAAAACATGGAAAGAGAAAGATTTTGTCCTTTCTGGAAGACAGGTCATAGAATTGTACATGTGACCAGAAACCCTTTCTGGATTCTTTATAAATTTCATCATAAGAAAATGAATTTTTTTTTTTTATTCTTTATTATTATTTTATTTATTGGTTTTATTTAATTTTACCACAAGCCTGATTTTAATTCCCCAGAATCAGTTTAGAATTAGATAAGATCATTTAAATCTGCATCTATTGCCATTAAACAAAGTCTATTTGGTCTTTGAATTAGTCTAGTGAAATAGACATTGTTGCCAGGAAGATGTTATTACCAAATTGATGGTGTTCCCTTTTTGTTAAAAAGAGAAGCCTTGTTGATATCTTAAATTTAAA